AAAAAAAAAAAAAAAAACACAACACATCAATGGAACCAAAGTCATAATTCTTAACCCTTCCTACTACTCACTTAGGAATATAAACCAAGCAATACACCCTTATACGTAAGGGTTGAGTGTAGAAAGGATCACTAAATACACTTTAAACAAAATCCAATTAACATTTTTAAAAGATCAAGTTTTTCCTCTGACAACTGAAAAGCACTAAAACAAAAGATACGCAGTTAGCAAGTCTTTCCCACATCTGAGAAGTAAACAGTTTCATGAGATGCTGTAAACATAATTTCCTTTGCTCCCAAGCAGAAGACCTGGTGGAACAAATGGCTACTAGAGACGATTAGAGGTAGTCACAACAACTTCACAGAATGCCAAGAATTTCCACACTAATTAATAAGCCTCCAGAACAATGGAGTGACTAAAACAAAATAGCTGTGGTGGCTTGATTGCACTTACAAAGCAGGAAACTGGAAGCAGCAGCAAAATCTGATAGCTGACAAGAACAGACCCTCTGTGATTAGATAAGGAATCTGTATAATAAATTTTGCCCTCATAGTTTTGCCAAGGTCTTAATGACTCCTGCAATTACAAAGGGGAATCCTACACTCCAATCAGAGCTTTCCATTTCAAATTTATTATCTAATACATGGTACCATTGCAGAAAGCACACAAAATTCCCATTCAGTTTCAGCTGTTCAAGTACTTATAACTGCCTTAAGTTCTAAGTAAGTTACAGTAATACTACAGCTTGTAAGTGTCATACCTGAACAAATCTGGGTGGAAACTTTTGTCGTAGGTCTAGAAGCAAAGCATCTACCCGTTGCCTTTGGAAAATAGAACTTGGTTCCTCCTTCTTCTTGGCTTTTGGTTTAGCTTTCTCTGCAAGTCATAGCAATGTAAGAGAAAGCTGTATTAAAAGTTCCGTTCTTTTAGCAGCTCTCTGCTGCTCTCCTGTGTAGCTCTTTGTCCTCTCCTCTGAACTTCACCTATGTTTTCCCTTTGACATCAGGCTTTTTTTGTGGAAGACAGATTAAGGACAATTCTTACTTCCTGACAAACTGGTTTGGCTTCTGAAAATGTACTGGTCTCCAGTGGTTTGAAGAGTTGCTCCCTGTGTTGACATACGGCTCACTATTTTCATTTCCCACCCATGCCTTGATGTTCATCCCCACCAGCACAAAAGAGTAAGATTCCTTCCACTTGATAGGGAACACTAACTTACCCTTCAGACAAAGTCACTTAACCTCACCTCTACACCGTCACTGTGCACTGCCTGAAGCTTTTCCCTATGTTACCTTCCCTCTGCCGAAGTGGTGGAATCACCATCCCTGGAGATGTTTAAAAAATGGGTAGACGTGGCACTTTGGGACATGGTTTAGTAGGCATGGTGGTGCTGGGTTGATGGTTGGACTGATGATCTTAGAGATCCTTTCCAACCTTAATGATTCCTAGTTTTTCCTCTCATTAAAAAATAATCCAGCCACCAAGCCAGGAAACATGAAATTATTACTCTACCCTTAATTGGTTTAGTGGTGGACTTGGTAGGGTTAGGTTAATGGTTGGACTGGATGATCTTAAAGGTCTTTTCCAACCTAAAAAATTCTATGATTCTATTCTATGAAAGTATGCAGGAACAACTAGGAATCATACCTCGTTCTTCTTGATCTTTGAAATGCCACCAGTAGCCCTTGGACGGGTGATAGCGACAGTAGGACATAGCTTCTTCAAAAGCAGACTGAATTCCATGCACTGCAGTGAGCTTTCAGAACAAGAACATAAGGCAGTGTTCAGAATTTAAGGAGAAAATAAAGTATAATTTTTTGAAAGCAGAGATTTAAAAACTAGTATTCTATATTCATTTTTGTTCTGAGAAGGGAACTTGGGATATCTAGCTTTGGACCAAGAACGTAATCTCTTTAACAGCCTCTTACAAGACCTTTTCTTAAGTGTTTTTCTTAACTGACAGAGGAAAACTTGCAAAAGTAGTAGTTTACTAGAACAGAAGAAATCAAAACAAGCCCGAGTATCCTATTTAAAAAGAAATATCACACTAACTTAAAAACATAAGCTTCATTTAAAGAGAAATATTACATTACATTAACATTCCAAAGCAAGCTTCACTGAACAGGTATTTAATTACTATTTCATATGTATTTGTCATTTAACTTTTCTTTTGATTATTCAAACGTCATGTTGTTCTGCCAATTGTGTAGCTTCAGTTATTCTGATCCTTCGTCCTTGAACAATGTATCCTTCTTTTTGGACCATATTGCACTTTCCCAAGATCTTTCATTTCCATGTGGGATAGACACCATATTAACCAGTGGGGTTTGTTTTAAGTTACTGTATACTACACAAGATCTTTCCTCAAAACAGTGAAGGAGGGATTGAAACAGCCCAAGGAACAACCAAAAGTAAAAGCAGATACAAACTGGTATACATCAAATGCACAGAACACTTACAACTCTGGAGTTAATGACAGACCCTAAGTCAGGTGCCTGGTAAATCACTCCAGCAATAATATAGTAGTCAGCCAATGGAATAACTGTGGAGGCGAAAAAAAAAAAAAAGTAGGATCAGTTTAAAGCTCTGGCTGAAGACTGTGTATTTGTTGCTGAATTTCAGTAGTAACATCAGAAATTGTAATATTCATCTCATCACCAAATTTTCCCCTTTTAACTTTTTCCTTCAAGGTGCTTTATTTGCACCCTAGCCACAGACTGATAAGGGGAAAAAAACCCAAGGTCTGCTTTACAGATAGAAAGGCATCAACTTGAAGTCCTGTCCTACTGCAGACAAACAATCAACTTTACAAGAGTTGGGATTTTCAGAGGTACACAAGAGGAGTCAAGTGAACTGCACTGGAAGTAGTTCCACTTGCCTTTGCTACCAGCAGAAACCCACAACAACATAAGATCTTGTTCTTCTGGTCTCAGCTTTCTTCAACTTGTACAGTCCTCTTAGCTAGATTTCCCAGTCCCAATGGCAGCTAAGGACACACAGAGTATGCCTTTTGAAATTAGTAACATTCCGCCAAAAAAAGACAACCTTCCAAAGACATTTGCTAAATCCAATTTGGAACCTTTACTGACCCATTGAAAATTCTTGTTCCTTAGAGCTGCAGCACAGAGGAACATCACAATTGCCTCCACAATACTCTGTCAAACATTCTTCAGTCAAGAAACTATAGCAATGCTACCAGCTTCATGTTCCTAAGGATCTTACCTGCGCACACATTTGTTCCAGTTCCTCCATCTGTATTAACACATTCTGTCTCAACGCATTCTGTCTCAACCTTTCTACTGACAGGACCCAATTCATCCAGTACTTGCATTTTATGAAGCCTGGACACCTGCCTAAATTAACAGACCAAGACAGCTGGGTGCATATTACAGCCAGTACCCACTTCTCAGAAGAAAGAGGATTCCCAGTATTTCCTTAGAAGTGGAACAAGACTCAGAACAGCAGCTTTACTGTCTCACAGCTCTGTACCAGAGCAACCTACTTTCCTAGACAGGTAACTCTCCCTAATCATTGGATCTAAAGATTTTTTCCAAACCCACTTCAAATAGGCAAGAACTTGGCTTAAAAAACTTAATATAAATATACTTTTGGAAAAAAAACAACAAAAAACCAAAAAAACACACAGAAGTATAAGACAGGCCTGTACCAGTTCTACCCAAGTACTCAACACTTCCTGTAAACTCATTAAATTTTAGTTTTCCATCCCCATTCTCGTGTCTCAAATACACTAATATTTGTACCATGATAAAATGAAACACATGAGTAACATTTGGGCTAGGGAACTATGCGACTCAAGCAAGGTATCTAGCACAAACTGTACAGTCACAATGTGAAAAATATTACCAAACAAGTCCCCATTAAATTCCACCAAACATATTTGCATTACAGCAAAAGTCTGAACACACATACTGTGGAAGCCCCAACTCTACTCTTGATTTAAGAAGTGTCAAAACAGGAAATTAAGCGCTGCATGGTATTTCCATACTCACCTTTTGAAAGCTAGATTCAAAACCTTTAATAAAGAAACAACTCGAAAAATCTATTAGAAGGAGGAATCATATATGTTCTTTTTCAGTATGAAACTGCAATATAAAGAGGCCATTACCTGATATAAGCAAATAAGAAGCATTGCTAGACAAGGCAAAGTCCTGCACAAGACCAAAATGCATATGCAGAGCCTAGGTCACTAAAAAAAAAGTTACAAAATAACTAGCATTAACCTTGCCTTTCTTTTCTGTAAAGCTTACTCCGAAATAACCAGATTATTTTACATAAGCATGCAGTAAACACAGAAGATAGTCCAATAACTATTGAAATGTGGTTACTTTTTTAATTAATATCACACACAAACAAATTTAAGGTTAAAAAGGAATAATGAAGCCAGCTGCATGCAAATGGAAAAAAAAAAGCTAAGATATTTCATTTAAAACTTAGGTCATCAGTGAGACTGTAAGAAGGAATAGTGCTGTTGTCACAAGATTCCCTCATGATTCCAAAGTACTCAGTTCTCGGGGCAATAACCAAACCAACAAGCATTTGCAGTATCTCATGGTCATTTTCCACATGGGTCGTTGTCTTCTACTTACAAGATCCTACTCAGCAGTATAACCAACCCACAGTTGAAGGTGGAAATAGTGCAGAATAAGAAAGTGATGCAACACAACAGAAGCATGAACGATCCCTTTCCGTAACTAATGGAAATCATTCATGGCTTGGCAAAAGAAATAAATAAATCACATACTAGCCACTTCAGATAATTAGTTCAAATTAAACTAAGCTCATCAGCCCGAAGCAAGGATATCATTAGCCTTATATTCAAACCATTAAAATGAAAAGTCTTGCCTAGCCTAACAGATATATACGACATGGCATGAATGCTGTCATCAATTTCCCAGGGCAGTACTTTCTCATTGCACTCCTCGCATTTCACCACAAGATGGCAATCCCTGCTATTAGCACACTAGAGGTCACTCTGCTAGACCAAGTATCTCCTCACCACCACAAAGCCTCACACCCTTTTACTTAGACGTAAGATAAAGACAGAAAAGGGGAACCAGAAGTGCTTAAACACAAATTAGGAACAGACAAAAGCGACTAACCGATCGGCCTTCTCAACAGTGACAAGAACTGAGTGACCTTACCTTGTGTTGGAGATTGCCTTTGCTGCTTCCGGATAATGAAGAGAATGGGCTCTTGAGCATGAAGGAGGATGTACTCTACTCCAACCATCTGGCTGAAAAAGCAGCAACCAGAATAAATATCTTCCTCAAGGTAAAATCTGTAGGATGTGAAGACCTACCAAATGGCCTAGCAGCAAAGGGATGAAGTTCTGATGCTTTGGAAGCGCTTCTATATTAATGCGCAGTAAATAAAGGCACAGGATTTCCTGAGCTAGCTATTAAAACCTAGCTGCATATACAAAGGGGGTTACAACAACCTGACACATCATCTAAGCAGAACATGTTAGCCAAAAAGTAAATAGCAAAACAGATAACACAATCTATCATCATAGAGATGTCATTTAAACACAGAAACAAAGGACCAGTGTATGATGTGACCTTCTGTGTGTCTGACATGAAAGCCCCTCCACAACCACATCTGAGCATCAGTAACTTTACCAATGAACTTTTAGCTCCGCTTGCACACTCCCTATCATATTGTGGCGTCTCTAAATAGTTCTCAAATACCTCACTTGTGCTTAGTGTAGCAGATGGGAAACTGGAAAGAAAGTTCACTTGCGTATGCTGCAATCTCATTACACAACCATCTGTGATCAGTTTATTTACAACACTCACTACTTTTATTATCCATACTAAAAAGCCAGCTCTTTGGAGGAATTATGTACTAATTTTGGCACACAGCCAGCAGGATATGGAACTACAAACTACTTATGAATTCTAAGCGTCCCCTAACATAAACCCTATTCACCACAGAAAAATATTTAACTACATTACCATTACTCGGGTTCTGTCGAGCTGGGAAGATGCGAGAAGACAGCTTTTCTAATTCAGAGAAATATCTAAGACGTGATTTACTGGAATCTCAGGATATACATAGAATCCTTCATGTTTAACACCTCCTTGAAATGGCATAAGAGGAAGTAGAAGAGATCCAAATACAAAAAAAGCTGGGCTCCCTGGCAAGTGGTGGGACTAAAAAGCACAGAACAGAAGGAGGTTTCCAGCATGCTTCCATTCAACCATTACAGCCTCTGGATAGAGGGACAAAGGATGTGTCACAGGAAGCAGTTCCAAATTACTACTTACTTCAAATGGTCCAAGGTCATCCGCTGCATTTTGACAACTTCATTGTTACATGTTCGGTCATAGAATGGGTTACTTCGCTCCGAGAAATAGTCCAACACACTGCTATTGTTTAATATTGGAATCCAGGAGCTGTCAACCCAGGAAATTCCCAAGAGATTATCTGAGAAGAGAAATCTACACTGAGTACCAAAGCAGTCAGAAACACTACAAATACCTCCAAGAGTAAATTGCCACCAGTTAATGATTATAGCAGGGTAAGGAGGTGGAACACAGCCTCACACAAACCAGTCCTAATTAAAAATGTGTTTCACAGAGTTCAAGTAACAACTGATATCCTTTAACCTTCTGCAGTTCTGTTGTAGGTACGCAACAGAAATCTAGTATTTTTTTTATTATTGCACTTTTTTTTTCTTGACCACTAGCTGCTGGTATACCTTTATGTTTCAAGGGTGTGAGCAAGGTGTGTGTGCATGTGTGTGCACTGTGTTGATGGGAGTTAATTAGCTCTGATACTGTATATATTATACTACACCTACTCAGTAGTATAATATACAGTTTATTTTATGAACCACAGCATTAGCCAAGTAGAAAGACAACCCAAAGCATGGCTCCTTTTGAAAGCTAGGTCTCCGGTAAGTAAGTTGAATTTACTAAACTAAGTAAGGATTAGTGACGGGGGTGGGGGAGGAATGATACACCCCACACTAAATGTGAGCCTGGTCATGTTTAATACAGTTTATTTCTTACAAAAATAGTTTCCAAGCTGTAAACTATGATACTGAGAATAGGTAAAACACTGCAGAAATTTATTAATTAAACCAAGAGCTTTCTTCTGCTAAAGCCAATGATTAAACTACTGAGCGAAACAAAATACTTGCACGTTAACATTTCTAAGACGTTCTGTTGTTAAAATACATATCTGTATGATATCATAGAAACTGATACTGTTGTGTTTCAAAGATTATTATTTTTGATGCGGGTGAAATCTATAATAAACAAAACCCCTCAAAACGGCAGACACAAAAATGCTATCTCTGGGCAGATGTTTCCCAGTAGTGTTGAACTACTCCAGGTATAGTGATTCTATACCTGACTCCACAATTAATCTGCTGATAAGTCAAGTCGATATTACAGAAATCTAACTAGGGTATTAACAATTACATAAAATAGCAAACTTTTTAAATGAAATATACTCTATAACCTGCAAATCATTGTATGCCAGAAATTCCTACAGATCTGTGGACATTTGAATTAAAATCCCTGGATTTTATTATCACACTGCAGCAAAATGATGTTCTTCAAGCAGACCAAGGAAACCAGTGTCAACAATTAGATCCACAGTCAAAAAATCTGCTAACATTGAAGATCCATGAGGCACCTTGAAAAGCACCCTGAAATTCATCCATTTTAAATTGCAGCAGCAGCAAATAGAATTCCCAAGACATGAGAAAGCAGGAAACAAAGGCATGCATTGTTTAGAATTAAAAAATGTAAGTGATCAGAAGTCACTGAGGACTGAATGAAGAACTAAAATGCCCTTCTCACAGGAACCATTCCCTTACGTTCACACATTATATACATAACCAGAACTCCCACTTATCATTCTACTGCGAATATTTCACTTCTGCGACAACTCTGCATGCTTAAGGATGACTGGATCAGTTCCAAAAATGTAAGCTTCTCTGAGGAACAGTTAATAAAGTAACACTAGCTGCCCAGCAAAACAAGAAAAATGCAGTATAAACAGTCATGCGTAAATCATTTTGCCTCGTTAATCTCAGAATTGCCAGCCTAACTCTTTCAGGGAATGGGGGAAAAGAACCCAGAAGTCTAGAGGCATTCATGTTAATTTGCATACACTATTCTCTCGCCTCACTGTAAAAAAAGGAAATCTCAGAAACACAGCACTAAGATCCATTATCAAGTACTTAAGTTGTGGTAGCAGTGCTTATCCTAAATGCCTTTCAAAACCAAAAGACAAGCTTTCCTTCCCAACAAAACCAAAATCTTAAGTGCTTGTATTCTTGCCATAGTAAATTCTCATATTACATTTCAAATACAAACTTTTCTTGCTTGTGTAATTAACAATGACCGTGTTTCTCAAGAGGAATGTCAGGCAAGCTTCATATATATATATATATATAGCTATAATGCTGCATATAGACTGATAAATGTATCATAAAAAGGAATATAAAGTTGGGCTCTAAGGCTCAGTTATCCACTGGTGCTTAGTGCCAATATTGATAATTGCCTTTATAACTAGTAAGATTGTTCTCTTAAACTATTCTTGGAAAAAAAGGGGAGGAAGAACAAAACCAACCATGGACCTGACATGCCTGTAATTCCCACTAAGAAGGGAGCACCTCTGTTTATTTTGGGTATGAGACAGAAAGGATGGTGTTCCTGCTTCCCTGTTCCTTCCAAAAACAGGACATCTTGTTCAAAGCACTTTTTGTGGAATTTGCATCACAGGTGCAAAAGTAAAGTGCTTGTGACAATACTACCAATCTGCCACAAATGTCAGGACAATCTGGGAGACAATCCAGCAAACCATGGCAAAATAAGAGGAGAGCAATTCACACAGCGTGCTGTACCTGGCCTTGCCAGCTAGATAGCCCAAGGCTAGGCTTTGACAAACTGAGAGAAACAGTAAAATAGTCTGATAGCTTAAAAATAGAAATATACTTCAAACTCAATATATTGAGCCATATTAGATACAAGACTTTGAGGGAGCTTAAATATCTGGATTAAGACAGAAGGTTCTCATACCAGCTAATAACTTAATGCAGCACTCCTGCCATTAATTGTCCATATAGCTCCTTACTGCAATCTGAAACAAGGCAGTCAGAAAAGCAAACACGACTGCAGAAATCATTAAGTAAGAATTTGAAGGGAAAAAAAAGGAGAAAACATCTCATTATCAAAATTAACCCCCTCACAGGCTTTCCCTAAGTATCTGCTCTTAGTCATTCCCTGAGACTCCATCCACCACATAGACTTCTGGTGTGACTCCATTCAGACACTCTTACAGAGAAAAATAATTTCCTTTCTCATGTCCTCTCAACTCCCTCTTCCTCTCTCAAAAGTTCAAACTCTTCACAGTAATTTAACCTGTATTTTGTTTACAATGTAAACCTTCTTTAATACTTCATTCAAATGTCACCCCTTCTTCTTCAAAACATTCTCTTTCTATTCGTACCCCTCAACTCTCACACAAACCTTTCTTGCTCTCAGTTACCTCTGCGTTCTTTCTGGCTTCTCTAACACCTTCCTGGTGGATGCCTCATTGCATCCACCCAGAGCACTGCTAAGATTACCAGCCTAACTCACCGCTTTGGTCTCAGGCAAGTCCCACATGTGCCAGTGTTTCCCACTCTCCTCCATACTTCAGAGCTAAAACTCTTTTTCAGCTGTTCCCTTCCGTTACCGTCTCCCCCCAGCACCTCCTTATTCCACCCGAAAAGGCAGAGGTGTAGCAGAAGGGAGGCTTGTTTTTCCCAGGTGGCCTTGAACACACCCCCCTCGCCCGCCTCACGTCCAAGGACTCTGCTTTTTGGTCAGTTTTTCCTCCCAGTTCCCTCTCGTGACACAGATGCATTAGCAACGCCACTACACTCTCCTGCGCAGAGTTTTCAAAGACGTAAAAACAAACTGGGTAGCTCCACCGCCCCTACAGAGCACTAACAGGGGAAGC